ACGCCTGTAATCCTAGCACTCTGGGAGGCCGAGGCGGGCGGATTGTTTGAGCTCAGGAGTTCGAAACCAGCCTGAGCAAGAGCGAGACCCCGTCTCTACTGAAAATAGAAAGAAATGATCTGGACAACTAAAAATAAACAGAAAAAATTAGCCGGGCATGGTGGCACATGCCTGTAGTCCCAGCTACCCGGGAGGCTGAGGCAGAAGGATTGTTTGAGCCCAGGAGTTTGAGGTTGCTGTGAGCTAGGACGACCCCACGGCACTCTAGCCAGGGCAACACAGTGAGACTCTGTCTCAAAAAAAAAAAAAAAGGAAGATAGCATGGTGAAGCCATTAGAAAGCTGGTCTGAGAGAAGGTGAAGTTACAGTTGCATAGCCTTTTGCAAGACCCTGACCCAGACAGGGGCAGCCCCTCTGACCTTGCTCGACCACTCATGACCCGTTGCTCTTGGCCTGGGTGCAGTGATTCCCTTATTCACCACATTTACTGAGCCTGACCAGGTGCACAGGATCTATAGTGACAGATCACTCCCCTGCCCTGAGGAAGTTTACAGTCTACTAGAGGAAACAGATGGAACAAACCAGAAAAAGTATCAGGCGGTGTAAGTACTGTGAAAACGAAAACAGGGTGATGGAAATTAAAATAGATGACTTGATGGAGTTTGGCTGATTGAGTGGTCCGGGGAGACATCACTAAGGAGGTGTGACATTCATGGTGAAGTCTCAGTGGGAAGGAGCCGGCCTGGGGGGATTGGTGGGGGACAGAGTCCTCTTCATAGAGGGAACCCCCAGTCGATGAGCAGAGAAGGGCAGCCAGTCTAGCCAGAGCATCCTGGAGAAGAGAGGGCGTTTGGCAAGAGAAGAGATTACGGAAGAAGGCAGGGGTGAGGAGCTCCCCAGAGTGTGGGCGGGTGGGAGGTGACACTGGTTCTTCAGGAAGCTTTGCAATGAAGGGGATCAGAGAAATGGAGCTGTGTATGGGGTGGGGAACGATGCGTTCAAGGTGGGTGTCCTTCCCCGTGTGGAGGAAGTGGGCTGAGAGCTACTACATCCTTTAACAAGAAGGCGGGTGGAAATCGAGTGCAGATTTGGCAGGGCCTATTCGTGCAGTGGTGGGAAGGTTGGAAGTCCCTCTTCGGTTATCTTTTCCTCAACTGTATGGCTGGCGAGGTGGGCAGGAGCAGCCTGGGGTGTGGCTGGAGATTGGGAGAGAAAAGGTGTAAAGGAACAGCTCTGTTCCTGCTCCTCAGGAGGTGGTGCTGTGTCTCAGACTCTGATATGGTGTTGGGGGAGGGAGACCCTCCCTCCTCGGGCCCAGGTGACCCAGCGTTGGGTGTGTCTCATGCCAGATCCTCACTTTTCCCCTCACAGCAGCCAGATTGCGTTCCTGGTCACTGCCATGGAGGAGCCGCAGTCAGATCTCAGCATCGAGCCCCCTCTGAGTCAGGAGACGTTTTCAGACTTATGGAAACTGTGAGTCGATCTCATAGGAGGGGCAGGCTCACTGCCCAGCCCCCAGCAGGATCACCGTCCCCTGCCCACCCCAATCCCCAATCCCCAACCCCCAGCAGAGGCCCATGGGAAGCAAAAAATCCACGGTACTGACTTTCCGCTCTTGTCTTTCAGACTTCCTGAAAACAACCTTCTGGTAAGGACTAGGGATGGACAGGGACCAGGGCTTGGTTGGTGGACTGCTGAGCTGGGAACTTGGCCCTCTGACTCTTATTTCGCCCACCACAGTCCTCCTCGCTGTCCCCGCCAGTGGACGATCTGATGCTGAACCCAGAAGACTTTGTGGGCTTGTTCACCGAAGGCCCAGATGAAGCTCTCAGAATGTCAGAGGCTCCTGAACCAGCGGCCCCCGCGCCAGCTGCCCCTACACTAGCAGCCCCCGCGCCAGCCTGGCCCCTGTCATCCTCTGTCCCTTCCCAGAAAACCTACCATGGCAACTACGGTTTCCGTCTGGGCTTCCTGCATTCTGGGACAGCCAAGTCTGTCACCTGCACGGTCAGTGGCCCTGAAGGGCTGGCTTTCATGTGACCTTTCCGAGCCTGGCTGTATCCCCCTGCATTTTTCTGTTCAGAACTTAGGAATTCTCCTTCAGCTTCTTGTCAGTCTTTTTCCATTGTACCCATTTAATCTGTGACCTTTGACCTCTGTCCCAAAGTTGGATTTTCCCCCTTGACCTCCAGCTTTCATCCTTCCTGTCACACTCAGCATCTCATGGGGACATGGAAATTTTCTTCCTTTTCCTTCACTCACATTCATTCCTTGGCTTTTGAAAAGCAGCTTCTGAGGTGTAGACCCCAACCCTGTTGTCCCCAGCGGCCCTCCACACACAGTGCACGGCTTCCAGCAGGTGCTTGAGCAGGGTTTGTTCCCCTGACCCCCCTTTCGCTTGGTTTGCTTGTCCCCTGACTTTCTATTCTGCCCCTTCCTTTCCCTGCAGTACTCCCCTGCCCTCAACAAGATGTTTTGCCAGCTGGCAAAGACCTGCCCCGTGCAGCTGTGGGTGGACTCCACACCCCCACCAGGCAGCCGCATCCGCGCCATGGCCATCTACAAGCAGTCACAACACATGACGGAGGTTGTGAGGCGCTGCCCCCACCATGAGCGCTGCTCGGATAGCGATGGTGAGCAGCCGGAGGCCGGAGAGGGGACGGAGCTGGCTGTCCAGGCTGCCCTGGCCTCTGATTCCTCCTTGTGCTCTTAGGTCTGGCTCCTCCTCAGCATCTTATCCGGGTGGAAGGAAATCTGCGAGTGGAGTATTTGGATGACAGAAACACTTTCCGACACAGTGTGGTGGTGCCCTATGAGCCGCCTGAGGTCTGGTTTGGCAGCTGGGGCTGGAGGGGGGAAGGGGATGGAGGCGATTGCCAGTGACCATCCAGGTGGGAGGCAGGAGTGCTTTCTCCTGCCTCTTGTGCCCCCTCCCCAACACCTTGTGAGGTGTGCAGAGCAAATGGGTTACCCCCTTGCACAGTTGTGGAAACTGAAGCTTGCAGAGACTAAAGGCCTCACCCTGGGCTTCTGTTCTGTCCCAGGTTGGCTCTGACTGTACCACCATCCACTACAACTACATGTGTAACAGTTCCTGCATGGGCGGCATGAACCGGCGGCCCATCCTCACCATCATCACACTGGAAGACTCCAAGTAGGGAGCCACAGGCCACCCTTCACACCCCAGCCTCTGTCCCCTGGGCTTGCCCCACACCGCTTTCTTCCATACTACCCCCCATCCCCACACAGGGCATCTCCTCTACTGCTGCCTCTCAGTTTTCTTTTCTCTGGCTTTGGGGCCTCTCTCTCCCCTGTAGCTTCTTTTCCGTAGACCTGGAGCTGGAGCTTAGGCTCCAGCTAGGACAAGGGCAGTTGGGAGTGGGTAGACCTGGTTTGTGAAAGAGGGCAGGTAGGACCGGACTTCCTTAATGCCTCCTGCTTCTCCCTTCTTACCCTGGGTAGTGGGAACCTGCTGGGACGGAATAGCTTTGAGGTACGTGTTTGTGCCTGTCCTGGGAGAGACCGGCGCACAGAGGAAGAAAATTTCCGCAAGAAAGGGGAGCCTTGCCCTGGGAGCGCTAAGCGAGGTAACCAGGCAGGACAAGAGGTGGAGGAGGCAGAGGGTATGGTTCTGCCCCAGATTCACTCTTTTCTCACCTTTCCTTGCCCCTTTCCCAGCACTGCCCACCAGCACCTGCTCTTCTCCCCAGCCAAAGAAGAAACCACTGGATGGAGAATTTTTCACCCTTCAGGTACCAAGTCTGAGAGAGACAGATGCACAGTTTCTTGCATATACTAAGTGGGATTGGATAATGGAAGAAAAGATATAAATGTAGGGAATATGAGGTCAGGCCCAGTTTCTCTGTCCATTCTTTGCTCTATTCATGTCCCTGACTCTTGTAAAGTTAATATTATCAGGTTGAAAATTTCAAGTCTGTCACTCAAAATGCTATTTTCTTCTAGCCTGCTTTGCCTGCAATTAGGGCATTTGCCATTAGAGGGCAGTGGTGCCTCAGAGACAATGGCTCCTGGTGGTACCTAACTTCAAAACACCAACTTGTACCATAATATACATTTTAAAGGACCACATTTCAAAAAGAAAATTGTTAAAGAGAGCATGAAAATACCCGATACAGATGCTTCTTGACTTGGTGTTACTTCCTGATAAACTCATCGTAAGTTGAAAACGCATTTAGTACACCTAAACTATCGAACATCATAGCTTAGCCTATCCTGCCTTAAATGTGCTCAGAGCACTTATGTTAGCCTACAGTTGGGCAAAATCATCTAACACAAAGCCTGTTTTATATTAAAGTGTTGAATAGCTCATGTAATTTAGTAAATAATATACTGAAAGTGAAAAACTTGGTTGTATGAGTTCTTGGAGTATGGTTTCTACTGAATGTGACTTGCATTTGTACCATCGTAAAGTCAAAAAATTGTAAGTTGAACCATCTTAAGCTAGAGACTATCTGTCCTTCCTTATCCCTGTCCTTCCCTGCTGCAGATCCGTGGGCGTGAACGTTTTGAGATGTTCCGAATGCTGAATGAGGCCTTGGAATTCAAGGATGCCCAGACTGGAAAGGAGCCAGGGGGGAGCAGGGCTCACTCCAGGTAAGTGACCTGGGCCCCTTCCCAGCCCTACTCTCCTGCCTTCCTATGTTGGAAAGCCATAGGATTCCATTCTGATCCTGCCTTCATGGTTAAAGGCAGCTAATCCCATCCCACTGGGTCCCTGCCCCATGTAAACATTTTTTAGTCTGCCTCCTTTAGTATGGTACAACCACTTTCCTGCCTCAGTAGATCCACAGACCCTTCAAACTCAGGGATGAGTGTGGATACTTCTCTGCCCTTCTCAGCATCTCTTAGCCCAGAGCTGGGGGAATCTCAAGGAGGGGCCTGATAATTGCATGGAAATGTTAGACAGAGCCTGGGTTTAGGGTCAGATACTCAGCCCTGACAAGTACTATCAGGTCCTGGGTGACCTTGTGACTCCCCCTCTCAGGTTCAGTTTCCTCATTTATAAAATGGGGTAAGGGAAGATTAAGAGATTAATATGCTCAAATACCCCAAGATGCTCAGTAAGCCTGTCTGCATGTGGTGGTGGCCATCTTAAATTTCCCTTGTTCCAAGGCCCTTGAAAGCCTTGATCAAGGAAGAGGGGCCCAGACCCTATCACTCATGTGATGTCATCTCTCCTCCTCCCCTCTTCTGTCTCCCACAGCCACCTGAAGTCCAAGAAGGGGCAATCTACCTCCCGCCATAAAAAATTGATGTTCAAGAGAGAAGGGCCTGACTCGGATTGACGCCCTCTGCTTCTTGTCCCCCGTTGGCAGCCCTCTACCCGTACCCAACTTCCCTTCTGCATTTTGGGACTCAGGAACCCCCTGCTTGCTGTGGGTGTGCCTCAGAAACACCCAGGAATTCTTCTGTCAGCCTTGGCCCGGGGCTCTACTGAAGAAGTAGGCCTGCACTGGTATTTTGGGGGCAGAGTGGTAGGAACTAGGACATACTGGCTTAGCTTTTAAGGTTTTTACTGTGAGGAATGTTTGGGAGAGGTAAGAAAATGTTCTTCCATGTAAGGGTTAGATTTTACAATCAGCCACGCACTGGGTGGGAAGCCCAGTTCTCCTCTACTAAGCAGGGAGCCGTTTCTGGTTGTTTAATTTCCCCCGGCCTCAGTGGCCACATCTGTGAAATGCGGATAATCGCACCTACCTCACGGAGTCTGTTGTGAGGGTTAGTGAAAGGATGTATGTCTGATCTCAAAGCCACCTTTTATTACATGGAGTCCAGAATTTGGCCCTCTCCTGGGGTGCCTGTTCCCTGTTCCCATTGGTGGGTATATTGGAAGTTTCCAAGTCTCTACTGAGATTTTAAACTCAGCCATGTCCTGTCCAACCTCTTGGTGAACCTTGGCACCTAAAAGGAAGTCTCGCCCCATCCCACACCCCGGAGGATTCCATCTCTTGTGTAGGATCTGGATCCACCAAGACCTGTTTTACTTCTTCCCCCAAATACTCAGGGTCAGTTTCTTTTACACTCTGCAAGGCACATCTGCATTTGTTACCCCCACCCCTTCTCTTCCCTTTTTATATCCCATTTTTATATCCATTCCTTATTTTACAATAAAATTTTATATCACTTGTGTGTCTGAGGGGTGGGTGCCAGTGCAGGCTGCCGGGCCACAGGTGCAGGGGTGAGTGGGGAGGTGAAGTTGGGAGGCAGCCACCTGAGTCTCCAGGCAGTGCAGGCTGGGGGGGCCCAATGCCCAGGTTCCGGGAGGGGAACAAAGGCTGGAGACTGGGTCAGTCTGTGGGCTGCATGACAACAAGGGAGGGGGCTGACTCCATTCACAAGCAGGGAACCAACTGTCCCTCCTCCCCTCCTACCAGGGCTGGCACAAGGTTCTCTCCCTCCCCTGCTTCTAGGGATGGGCTGCTGCCCCCTCACCAGCCTCTCACCAAGGATTATGGGATTTAAATGTCTGATTTAGCAAGCCTGAGCCTCCGGGGTGGCCATCTGCTCCACAGGAAAGTGGCAGGATACCTGGGTTCCCAAGGAGAAAAGGGGTGGGTGCCACTGGATGGAGAGAGGCCAGTGGGAGGCCTGCCAGCAGGGGTCCCAGGAAAGTAGGGGCAGCTAAGGTAAGGGTTGGGGTGCGGGGCTGGGGCCTTCCCGGCATCCTTCATCCTGGGCCTCATGCCAGGCGGTTGAATGAATTGAAGCTTTAAACTCTGCCAGGAAAACCTTTCAAAGGGCTTCTTGGGATAGGGAGGAGAGTCGGGTTGGGGAGCTCAGCACCCCCCTGCCCATTCTGTCCTCAGTGCTGCTGGCTCCTAGGGAGGGGGGCTGGGGCAGGCTCTCCCCATCGCCCACTGCTTCCTGAGCCAGTGCTTGGAGGGATGGTTAGTCAGGGGGGCACATGGCTTGTCCTTCCTCCTACCTGGTGCTAGAGAGGGGTGCTCAGGTCCAAAGAGGCTTCTGGGGCCGTTGTCCTCAGCCTATCAACCAGGCTTAAAGTACCAGTGGGACCCATTGCCTTGCCCCAAGGATCCCAGAGAGCTGTGAAGCCACCAGCCTTCCTGCCCTCAGGACTACCATACTAGGGAATGCCAAACACTCTCCCCAGGAGACCTGGATCCACCTATTTCAGACACCTTTAGCTTAAACATCTGTCCCTACCCACTGGGTGAACCAGAGCCCTTGAAACTCAGTCCCTCTCCTTGCTTCTGTAGACGGGTCACTTTGATAAGGCCTCTTTCTTTTTTTCTTTTTAGGCTTTATTGAGATACATGTGACACCCCCCCCAAATTGTATATATTCAAGATATACAATGTGACAATTTGATAAATAGTATATACCGTGAAATTATTACATAAATTAATTAACACATCCATCATCACACACAGTTACCATTTGTGTGTGTGTGTGCACATGGTAAGGACACTTAGATTACTCTGCAAATTTCAAGTAAACGGAAAAGTTCCCTTTTTGTCCAGCATGTAGCACCCCCTTAACCCTCAACATTTCCCTAGATTGTGTCACTAGCTCTGTTTTTATTTCTACTGTACTGTTTCAGAAGGCAGATCCATTCTGACTCTGCTAATCCCTTGCTTGTGAGCTGATAGATCCCTGGATTGAGAATTAATGAGGTTTGGGATTTCAGGCCAGCTCTGCTATGAGCTGTGTGACCTTTGGTGAGTCCATAACCTCTCTGGTTCCACTTGCTGGCCTTCCCTCGTGTTGTGTTCAGTCATCTGTCCCTTCTAGTCAGTAAGTATTCATTGGTGCCTACTCTGTGCCAGGCACTGCTCTAGGCCCTGGGGGGTCTATGGCAGACACGGCCCCCAACCTCAGGCTCAAAGAGCCCAGGCCTTATCCCAATGAGGTCTGGAATCAGATCTCCCAATTTCCACATGACTCCAATCCAGACTTGCAATTCACAATCTTAAATCAGTATATCCTATTTTTCAATTTAGAAAATTTTTCTCCCTCATTTTAGGAACGCAGGATCTCCAAATCTAAAAGTCATACCCTGAGGAAATTGTATAGCCTTAAATGTTCTCATCATTAAGGAAAGGACCTAGTATATATCCTAAAAGGTACAGACTGAAATTATTGAAAGAAAAAACATTTGGTTGAAAGGGTAAATCCAAAAGCAGGGGCCTAAAATATATAGAGAGAGAGAAAGAGAAAGAGACACACACATTTTAAAAAGAAAAACTCAAGAGCTGGTTGAAAAAAACAAAGATCAAGAACCAAATAGTCAGCTGGCCACAGTGGCTCACGCCTGTAATCCTAGCACTCTGGAAGGCAGAGGCGGGTGGATCGTTTGAGCTCAGTAGTTTGAGACCAGCCTGAGCAAGAGTGAGACCCCGTGTCTACTAAAAAAAATAGAAAGAAATTAGCTGGACAACTAAAAATATATAGAAAAAAATTAGCTGGGCATGGTGGCACATGTCTGTAGTACCAGCTACTTGGGAGGCTGAGGCAGGAGGATTGCTTGAGCCCAGGAATTTGAGGTTGCTGTGAGCTACGCTGATCCCACGGCACTCTAGCCCGGGCAACAGAGTGAGACTCTGTCTCAAACAAAAAAAAAGAACTAAATAGTCCAATATTTAAACTATTCTGGGCCATGGGAAAAGAGTGAAATCTCTAATTCATTTAAAATTATGCTGACTTCATGGAATGTTAATACAGTAAAGATTACAAAACTACAAACCAAATTAATTTATAAATATATAGATGCAAAATCTCTAAATAAAATATGAATATATTGATGAATCCAAAAAATTACACTGTAACAAAATAGTTTGTTCCAGAAGCACAAAGTTGGTTTACTAGCAGAGAATCTATCAACATAATTCATTATATTAATAAATTGAAAAGTTATATGGTATCAGCAGCTGCTGAAAGGAATTTGATTAAATTTCTGCAACCAGTCATTAAAAAAAATAACACTTTAATTAAAACAGTAATAGACTGCTAATGGAATACCAATAAGTCAATATTATCCTAAATAATTAAACTCTAAGATAAGTTCAATTAAAATCAAGAACTATCTAGGGATATCCATTAACGCTGGTTTTAGTGCATTCAAGAGGACCAAAAAATGTGTGTATATATACACACATCTGCCTTTTTGGTCATGGCATTATGTACCTAAAAACTCAAAAGACTTGGCCGAGCACGGTGGCTCACTCCTATAATCTTAGCACTCTGGGAGGCTGAAGCAGGAGGATCGTTTGAGCTCATGAGTTTGAGATCAGCCTGAGCAAGAGCGAGACCCCATCTTTACTAAAAATAGAAAGAAATTAGCTAGACAACTAAAAATATATAGAAAAAAATAGCCGGGTGCAATGGCACACGATCTAGTCCCAGCTACTAGGGAGGCTGAGGCAGAAGGATTGCTTAAGCTCAGGAGTTTGAGGTTGCTGTGAGCCCGGCTGATGCCACGGCATTCTAGCCCAGGCAACAGAGCGAAACTCTGTCTCAAAAAGAAAAAAAAAAAACTCAAAAGACTTTACTAGAGATTTTATGAAATTAGAAGAATTTAGTAAGGTAGATTGGGTAGTAAATAGAAAAATATTAGTTTTATCTTGGCCGGGCGCGGTGGCTCACGCCTGTAATCCTAGCTCTCTGGGAGGCTGAAGTGGGCAGATCGTTTGAGCTCAGGAGTTCGAGACCAGCCTGAGCAAGAGCGAGACCCCGTCTCTACCAAAAATAGAAAGAAATTAATCGGACAGCTAAAAATATATAGAAAAAAAATTAGCCGGGCATGGTGGCGCATGCCTGTAGTCCCAGCTACTCGAGAGGCTGAGGCAGGAGGATCGCTTGAGCCCAGGAGTCTGAGGTTGCTGTGAGCTAGGATGACGCCACGGCACTCTAGCCCGGGCAACACAGTGAGACTCTGTCTCAAAAAAAAAAAAAAAAAATTAGTTTTATCTTCCAGCAAAAGCACTGAGAAAATAAAAGAACAAGAAAACATTCCATTTAGCAGGGTGCAGTGGCACACACCTGTAATCCCAGCTACTCAGGAGGCTGAGACTGGAGGATCGTTTGAGCCCAGTAGTTCAAGGTCAGCGTGAGCAACAAATCCAGACCCTGTCTCTGAAATATCAATGTCTTTAAAAAAAAAACAAAAAAACACTGCTGAATCAGATCACTATGGCTTGGCATATGGAATACTAGACAAGCCAGGGGGAGTAAGTAAGAATACAGAAGTAGATGTCAGTATATAGGAAAATTATATGGCCAAATTAGCATTTATAAAAAATAAATGAAGCTGGCAAAACTGGAAAAATAAAATTGGACCTCTAATTTATACTACACATGCCAGTAAATAAACCAGATGAACTAAAGTGAATGTAAAAATTAAAATGAAATTAAAATCCCACCAAAAAAAAAAAAATTCTGGAAAATGCGAGTATACCCTAATGACTAGAAACCCAGAAACTACAAAAGAATAAGCAAATTTGACTATATGGAAACCAAAAAACTTTTAGTATCTGTTATTCTCTAAGGAGAGAGAGTCTTGCTAGATTGCCCAGACTGGTCTTGAACTCCTGGCTTTAGGCAATCCCCTGCTTCTGCCACCCAAAGTGCTGCGATTACAGACGTGAGTCACTGCGCTAGCTGCAAAAACCTATTAATGGTAAAAGATACCACGAAGTCAAGAAGCAAACAATGGATTGGGGGAAATTTCGCAATACAGAAAAAAATTTATCAAAGGTCTCTAACAAATTAATAAGGGGATAACAACCCAATAGAAAAACAAAATATTATGTAGCCATTAAAAAAAAATGAATTAGAAGAGAGTCAGTAAGTCAGTGAGTCAGTCTGTCTCTTTCCACTAGCGGAGACAGACCTGTTTCATTTTGTAATAAAAAGCTACTCTTGTGGGGAAAAAAAGAGAAGAATTCGAGCTCTACCAGAGGAAGTACTGGCACACAACAGTTATTGAGTGGAAAAAGTGAGATGCATGAAAGTGTGTATAATATGATCCAATTCTGGTATAACAATGAACAAAACCCAGCATGTGTGTGTGTCTATTATGTATTCATGATAGAATTGTGTATGTATGTATGCATATGGATAATAATAAAGCTATTTCTCAAGACAAATACTAAGACCAACTCGTTGCAAAAATAATAAATAAATAAGCCCCAAGAAAATAAAAATTAACTATAAACCCATTTCCTCCCCGTTACCACAATGAACATTGTACCTAACAATCCATCCTTTTTTTCTAGCTTATGTTTATGTGTGTGTGTGCACTTTTACACAAAATCAGGATCATCTGGTTCACATTGTTTTGAGATCTATGTTTCTTCTAGTCAACTTTTCTTGTCTATCTCTAAGAATTTGCTGATGCTCTTCTCTCCCCAAACCGCCACATCCTTTAAGCTCCAGCTTAAATGCTGCCTTCTGTAAGAAACCTTCCCTTTGGAGCCCTGGACAGCAAGTGGTTGACCACTCTGAATTTGATCATTGCCAGCTTTCTCCCCTTCCATGAAGCACGTTTAGGTCTACCTTGTATGAGAGTTTCTCGTGTGCTCCTCACCTCTCCCGTTAAACTGGGGAGCTCCTTGGGGGCAGGAACTCTGCCTCTTTCATAAGAGTGTCCTCACGGTGCCTAGAATGCACACAGCAGGCACTTTATAAGTATCCCTGTACAAAGAGACGAAGGCTTCCTGTCTCTCTTATATTGAGTGATCTCAAGATAGTGTGCACTAAATTAGTCGAAGTGAAGGAGATGAAGTGGGTAGATGCTTGGGCACCAGAAGGAAGAGGTCAAAGGTGAGGAGTGCCCCCCAAGGGCTGGGTAACCCCCAGGATCACCCAAATCCCCCCTCCACCCTTTTCCCTGAGGTCTTCCAAATGTTTGGAAAGGAACAACCTGCACACAGGGCTCTGTATATGATATATATTTATATATATATTTGCTCTCATTTTATTGTACTTTATCGTCTTTTTACAGTAGATCTGACACAGGCATTAAATAACTGCAGAGAGAGACCACTGGGGAGGGGAGGTGCAGGAAAATGTGGGGACCCAAAGGGAGGAGACACAGATCCAGCAAGAGAAAAAAGGGAAGGGTCCATCTGTGGGTGGGGCATGGAGGCTGCAGCATTAAGAAAAGAAAAGGGAGGTTAGAGAGGGTGAGGAAGTGAAGGGGCACCAAAGGCGAAAGAGTTAAAATGCCTCTACAGCTAAAGAATATTCAGAGCAAGAGGAGGCCTCTCATTGAACATTCTATGGGCATTATGGGTTTTTTTTTTAAAAAGGCAAAGGGGTCTGAAGGAGATGGAGCCAAGAAATTCAGAGCCTAGATTGAGGGGGGTATTTGGAACTTTCAGGATGGCATGCGGAGGAGAGGGAAGGAGTTAGTGATAAGTTGATAACTTGCTAAGAGAAGCCAGAGAGAGGATGGTGGGGGCAGATCTGGGCTCAGGGGAAGGAGGTGGAATAGTCCCATAGCCAGCTGATGTTTCCAAGGTGGCCGCTGGGGATGCAGCCAAAATGGCTGCCCCTCCCCCAGGGCTCCCTGGGAAGTGGAACTTGAAGGATATTCTGGGAAGGCCAATGGGGGAAGGGAGCCATCGGCAAAAACAAAGTGGATATTCAGCCTAGGTCAGCCCCGCCCTCCTGGGCAGTGGCTATTTGGGTGATAGGAGGAACCAGAAAGAAATGGGAGTCGGGGGCTGCTAGAGAATTCTCAAGGGCCAACAGGGGCTTCTCTTCTAGTCTTTCACTTCCCAGCTCACGAAATCACCACAGGATGAGAAGCAGGATGTGCCAGGAAAGAGGGAAAAGGCCACAGAACCACCTTGTCCTCAAATACAAATGGCTGCCTTTCAGAGGCAGGAATAGGGATGGAGAAGAGGGGGGAAGCCTTGCCAGAGGAGCCAGGTAGGTCAAAGTTACCAAGATAGCAACGGTGTAGACGAGAGAGGAAGCTTAGAACTGGCAGGAGGGAGTACCGCCTTCATCTCTGGGAAGCAAAGGGGTGAACCTGGGGGCGCGGGTGGAGGTGTGTGTAGGTCAGTGGGCATTTTCTATAGCTCTCCAGATAGGAGGGCAGGAGAGGTGAGTAGCTCTCACAGCTAAACCAGAACTAGAAAGGCTCCCGCTCCTCTGTGGCCATCTCGGCAGCCCAGCTCCCTGTCTCCGACCGAGCTAAGGTTGGGAGAAGATGGTGGGAACTGTGTGTGGTCAGGGACTCACAGTGGACATCAGGCTGTGCTGAGAAGTCGAGGGAAAGGGTGTGAGGCTCAGATAAGTCATAGCTCTGTTATAAAAAATACCTTTGGGGTGGGTGAGGGAGGGATCAGGCAGGGTCAGGGACATTCCAGAAGCATCCACAGGAGAGAGATGGGGGCGGGAAGAAGGGGCCTCAGGTTTTGTTGATGCGCAGTTTGAAGGCCACGCGGCCGGCGAACTTGTCTCGCTCATCGTCTGTGGCGATGTTGGCGGCGTTGATGCGGCATTCCACGTTTACCTCCACGTTGGGGGTCACATTCAGGAACTTCACGGCCACCAGGGGCTGCGTGTAGTTCACCTGGGCCAGAGGAGCAGTGCCAGGGGCTGGGCCTGGGGCAACTCAGCCTCCTTCCCAGGATCCCCGAATCCGCCCCTTGAGGAGCCACCACCCTGGGCCTCTCCCGGGACTTACGTGGAACTTTTTGCCATAGTAGGGGAAGTACATGAGGTCAATGTTGCCATTGGCAGGGAACATGACAAAGTTGCCAAGATTCTCAGCATCTTCATCTCGCTGTGGGTGTGCAGGAAGGTAGAGGCGAGTAAGTTGGGATGGCGGGCACCCAGAAGCTCACTAGGTTTCCCTTTGTTCTTCCTTCACCCCCAGTTACTCCTGTCTCAAGTCTGCTTCCCTCAAGCTGTGAGTTGTGTGTGTCTGCGTGTGCATGGGAGGGGGACGGCCTGTCTGTCATGAGACTGGGAACTCCTGAAGGCTGCTAATGACACAGAAGCCTCCTACTCCCTTCCTACCCCAAGTTCTTACCCCATCCTTGGGAATCAGTTTCTGGAGCAGAGCCAAGAGAGAACAGACAATGAGTAAGGGCTCCCGAGGAAGCAAGGAGGGGGCATGAATGGAGAGGGTAGCAAGTTTCTAGGGGTGGGGTGAGGGATGGGGAGCAGGGTTCCAAGGACAACTTAGTGGTGGCAGATGGTGGTCACAGATCAGCAGCTACCAAGTACCTAAAAGGAACTGAGGAGCAGGGGTGATATGGGAGGGACAGCAGAAGATACGGACCATCAGGGATGAAGAAGGTGGAGGCGTTAGGGAGGGAAGCCAGAGGGCCAGGGCTTTGGTGGAGGAGCAGGTGTGTCTAACCCCCTGAGAGCAGCTCCTGCATCCTAGAGAGAAGCAAGAAGGGTGGGAGCCCACAGAGTTCAAGCCACAGCAGAGCCCACTCTTACCCCCTTGTCCCTATAGTGTTGGGGCCTCTGGGAGCAAGGAAGATAGGGAGAGACGGGTAAATTACACTGAAACCACAAAGGACAAACAGGTGGGCGGGCGGAAAGGGCCCAGCGAACTCACCTTCCCAACACAGGTAACATTCATGCTCTGGTTTGCTCCGGCATAGAAGTTGATGACCTGGAGCGAGGAGGAAGGGTGGTGAGAGTCAAAGGAAGAAGTTGTCAAAGACAGGTGTCCAGATCGAGCTAAGCCAAGCATGGTGGCACGCTCCTGTGATCCCAGCTAACTGGGAGGCCGAGGCATGAGGATTGCTCTGGCCTAGGAGTTTGACACCCACCTTGGCAACATAGCAAGACCTCACCTCTATTAAAAAAGAAAAAGACAGGCATCTGGCATTCCAACTACGGAGCTTAGCCTCCACTGGCCCCACCTCTCTTGTTCTCTCAGCTACTCAAACATCCAAAAATCCTTCTCATGCCTATTAGTCCCAGTGAAAGGACACAACTGTCAGCAGCAGGTAGCTCCAGCTCCCTCCCTCCACTGTCCCTTGGGTACCCGGTTCATCTTGATGAAGACACAGGGCTGCCCGGTGCTGTAACCATAGTGGGTGGGGTCTCCGATGCCGGAGCAGTCGCCCAGCTGGGTCCGGTTGAACTGGCAGGCACGTTTCGGGTAGTTGAGGACTCCGTTATCTGGCTGTTCATAATAACGCCCAGGGCGACAGACATCATTCTTTTGGGCTTGAATAGAGTCATTGTAAGCTAAGGCGGTAGGAGGGAGAGAGTCAGGGGCCCGATGTTCTGCTTCCAGGGATCCCACCCATCCCCTGCCCAAAATCCTGGACTGACACATAGCCAGCATCACACTCACGCTCCAAGAACTTGTTGAGCTTCTGAACATGCTGGTCCCAGCTTTCAGTGTCGCTGACGTTGACAATGACATCAAGGTTCTCAGTCTTGGGGCGAATCATCAAGCCTGTAGCCGACAAGGGCAGGAGTGGGAGGTATATATAAGATGAGGGACTGCACATAGGGGAAGAAGATGGACACACAGGGAATGCTGACATGAGGGATGGGGTGAAGATCTGGGATTGTCTTCACAGGAGGGCGATCTCCTGTGGTTATCTGCCACCTCCCCAGATCACATAGCTCCCAGATGCAGGAAATGGGAAGGAAGGCAGACTTCAAAAAGAACTTCCCAGCACATGGTGATTGGGTCATCAGAACCAAACTCCTGAAAAGAACTGTGAGTTCCTTTTGGAGGCTTGGGGGCATGACAGCAGTTAAAGTGGCTGGCAGGGGGAGCCCCATCACTCACCCGGTGTGGCCAGCCGGTCCTGGTACTTGGGGGTATGGTCAGAGACAGTCTGCAGCATCACCCACATGGTGAGGGTGAACATGGCGGTGAGGAAGCCATAGAAGACGAGGTAGAAGAGGAGGATAAAGGCTAGGGAGGAGGAAAGAGGGTCAGCAGGTTCTAAGTCTCCCACCATGACTTCATCTATCCCTCACACCCCTCTATCCACTCAGAAGTTCTGCACTGCGGCTGGTCGCAGGGCCACAGGGACGTCTTAGAGCCTTCCCCTGGGGGCAAAATGAGATAATCTGGAAACAGGCAGTTGTATCTGGCGTCCAGCCATGACTCCCAGCCCCCTCCTGGTCCTAGGGCACAGTGAAGTCCGACCTTGTGGAGGCCACAAGAGACCTAAATTCTTGTTGCTCAGGCAACTCCGAGTATAGGCTGCTGTCATTTTGCCTCCAATTACATTTGCAACTTCTCAACCATGCATCGTCCTGAAAAGGCATGGTCCTGTTACCTCTGCATTGGTACTCGTGCCTAAAGCTGAGCTAGCACAATGACTTTTGAGGCTGGCACTGGCCACCATTCACAACCAAATTCTCATACTGTCCCGCCGAGCCTGGACCCTTAGATTAAAACAAAATTTTCTTTTTCTTGGAGCCCTGCAGAATCCAAACCCTCAACACAGTTCCTGAAGTGAAGAACCTAACACTCACCCTCAACTCACAGCCAACAAAACCCTGGGCAGAGGCAGGGAGTGAAGGCAGAATTGCCCACAACCTTCCTGGGACACAATCTCTCTCCATCGCTCCCTCAGCCTGGTATAAGGGCCTGCTGTTCCCACCACCCTGGACTTCCGGTCCTCCCATCTCAAGACATTTCCTCCATGAAGTCCTCAGACTCTCCCAAATATTCTTGGATCCCTCTCATCCCAGGGACTGGATTTGGAGTTCCCTGAGGGCGACGAATGCATTGGACCCCCCTCATGGGCCCCTAAGTGGGTGGGCTGCCTGGAACAGGGTCCAGTGTGGATAAATTGTAAATTGTGTCACACGGGGTCTCTTGTGCTTCAACTTCCCAGCTTGGCAATCTCTTTAGGAAGAATTCCACCCTTCACCTGCACCTGTGCCCATCATCAGACCCCCCCGACTAGGTACAACGCCCTCCATGCCCCCTGAGTCCCGCCATGGTAAGGTTGGGGAAGCTCCCAAGCCATCCGACTCCCACAGACACACCCGACTGGATGATGTACACATCTCCCCACAGTGACCACTCCTCCCTCAGCCCCCCACCCACAAAGCAGCCACAGAAGGCTCCAAACACCCGGCAGTGGGATATAGACAGACAACTTCCGCTGTGAAGAACCCCCCCAATACCTCCCCTCCAAGACCCGCCCCCTCAAGAATGTTCCCAGGGTCCAGGGGGTGGGCATGAGCTAAAAATAGACGGGGTTGGAGAGCTAGTGAGAGCCAGAGGGAGGGAAGGTGGGGGCTCTTCAGAGGTGGGGGATGACCGTGCGAAGCGGACAGGCCCCGAGAGGGAGCGTGAGCGCCGCGGCGCGGACACGCGCGCAGAGCCCGCGACCCCCCGCCCGAGGGGGCTCCGCGGGGGGCGGGAAGGCGGCTGTGACCTACTTTCTCCGCCTCCGCACGGCCAGCCAGGGAGATTAGACTGGTGACTCGGCCACCTCCCAGTCCAGAGCCCAGCAGGGGGGCTGGACACCAGGAACCCGGGAGGGGAGCTGGGACCGCGTCGGCGGGACCCTGCACCCCCGAGGCGTCGCCCAGCGGTTCCCCCCGGCCCCTCGCGCGCGGGCCCCGCGTACCCCAGCTGGTCCCGGTGCGGCCCATGAACTGGTGGGTCCTCGGGTTCCATACGAACTCCTTCCACTCCTCAACCACCTGCCCGCAGCTCTTCTTCTCTTTCTGGATGACCATCTCCGCGGCGCGGGGCGAGTCCCCGCCCGGGGCCGGGGGCTACGGAGAAGCGGGGGCGCCGCGCGCTGTAGCCCTCCACGCACCCGAGAGCGCCCCGAGCAAAGGCGGCGGGGGCTAACGCGACCCCGCTAAGATATGCAGCTGCTGCAAATTCCGGGGTGTACGGCCACGCGCTGCGGGGTGCTGGCAACGTGGCGGAAGATGCACCGATCCTAGGCCCCCAGACAGCGATGAAAAGGGGGCCTGGCAGAGCAGGGGAAGGATAACAAGGGGAAGGGGTGTGAATGCAGCTTCACCCCCAAAACCGCCTAGAAGCAAAACGAAAAGGGGTGCAAAAGCAGACGGCTACAAAACCCGAGCGAAACGCAGAAAATAGAGGGGTGCAAAGAGGCAGGGAGAGGTGGGGGAGGGGACCGCCCCGAAATCCGAGATGGAAAGAGGCTGTGGAACGAGGTGGGTGACCGCTGACCGCTCTTCTGCCAAGCGGAGACCACTGCACCAGTAGTGGCTCGGCCGCGGGGGTGGGGCGGGGACGCGCAGTTGGGGAACAGCCAGGGATAGGAGGGGCCCCCAAGTCGGAGGCTCCGCTCCTCAGCAGTGCGGGACCCGCTGTCGCCGCTCGCGGTCTTTATACTCTGCGGCTCTGGGGGTGCCCGCCCCCTTCCCATCCTCACAAGCTCCACCTCCTCGCAGCTGGCCCAGACGACCTCATACATATGCAAATACGGAGAGAAGGACTGGGGCCGCCTCTTAGGGACCTGGCAGTCTCTCCCCTACCCGACCCCAGGTACTGGACTGCAACAGGGTGGCAGGAAGAGATAAGGGGGCGCGTCTGGGCGAAGTAGAGGGAAAGATAACCGCAGAGAGACTCAGAGACAGACAGTGAAGCAGATATACGCTTAAAGGTGGGGGCTCCATGCAGGGAGTTAGAAAGAGACTAAGATATAGATGCCACGGAAGAGTCCAGGAGAGAGATGGGGCAGAATGTGAAAGGAGTAAAGAGTTTGAGACCAAGAAACACTGAGCAAAAAGACCAGCGGGGTGCTGGACCAGCCAGGAAGGAAGCTAGAATAGGCCCGCAGAGATGGATAAAGGCCACCCAGGAGAGAATTCCCTTGTAGAAGCTGCTACCTGTAGAAGCTCCTGTTCCAGTCTCACAGCCCCTTTTTCCACCACCTGGTTCTCTCCACGTGCAAGGGCTTCCCCATCTTCCCACCACATGTCTCCCTGAAGCCCTCCCAACACTACATTCCCAGTCCTCAGTATTGCCCTGAGACCCCAGCCCTGCAGCCAGGTCTGTTTAGGTGTTCTGCCTCCCCGCACCCCCAGCCCCAGTCTGAACTTCCCTCCTCATTTGCCCATTTGGGTCAGCAAGTATTTATTGAGCATTGAGACTGTGCAGCTATAGCCCTGGGGAGGCCAAGATAGATTGGACTGAAGTCACAGCTCTCATAGGGCTCAGGAGGCCCACAGTCTAGTAGGGAAGTAGAAGAACCTCTAAATACCACATGTTAAGAGTCATAATCTCTACTTCTTTTAATCTTTCTTCTAATCTTGCCACTTTTTTTTGGAGAGATTTTTCTTCTCCTTTCAACTCTCACCCTAAATCCTTGGCCCAAGTCCTCAACATCTCACATCTAGACTATCACCCTTGTCCTCAAACTCACTCCCTCCAGTGTAGGGGCCAGCTTCAGGACATGGGACCTTCTCAGTTCCACAAGCCCTATGGTCAGAGTTGTTTGGTTTAATGCTCTGCTGTCTCCATCCTGAAATTCTTTTTTTTTTTTTTTTGAGACAGAGTCTCGCTTTT